AGGAAAGCGAGGCGAGAGCTGGGACAGCCTGCAAGGCTGCCAGCTGGGCCGGCCTGCTCCAAGCCACGCAGCCCAACTGCTGGCGCTGGGTGACTGCTGACCTCCTGGGCTGTGCTGCAAGCTGGGAACAGGATTTGCACCAGGCTGTAGGGGAGAGGAGCCCCTCGTCCAGTGGGACAAAAGCCCAGAGGACAGACCAAGCTTTGCTCAGCCCCAGGACCTTGGTTCCAGCAGAGTCAAAGGCTCCTAGGCAGAGGGTACCACTAGGGCACCTGTCCAAGAGCCCAAGGCGCTTGCCAGCCCTAAGCACAGGCCGTGTTTGGCAGGGGCCCTGGCACCAGGTCCCTGGCACTGGTCCCACAGTGCTGTGCGCTCACAACGGAGCCACACTGGCGCCGTGCCTAAAATGACTCCTTCCACTGTCACACAAGTAGCAGCTCTCTGGGCTCCAGGCTGCTGCCCTCAATCAGTGCCAGTCTGCTTTGGATCCCTGCTCCCAGAGGCCCGGAGCCATCAGCACAGTCATGGTGCCAGGCCAAGGGCAGTGCAGCATGTTTGGCAAAGCCTCACCCGAAGTGCTCAGCATGAGCTCAACGCCTGCAGGTTTCCCCTTGTGCAGGGTGCCAGGCACACCACCTCAGCCTGATTTCTAAAGACTACGGGACTCTGAGGCTGTCACCCTTGCAGCTCTTGACAAGACCGGTGCTTCTTCTTATGGAGTGGGGATGACAGGTCCACAGATCTGGGGAGAACCTCAGGCTATAGCAGGGCAGGAAGGGGAAAGGGCAGCTCAGCCCCTGTGTGCCCAGGGAGCCCTGGGCCCAGCATCCACTGTCAGGTCCCAGTGCTACCAGGCAGATTAGCCTCCAGGGAGGGCTAGGAGCCCAGGAGAGTCCTCCAGATTCCTTCCCTGAATCCTAGGCCCTCTAGAACCACCTGTCAGTGCTGAGGCTTCAGGCCATACAGGAATGGATCCACGCCCTCTTCTCACATGCTGGGGAGGGTCTGAGCAGTGCAGCAGCAGAAGGTGAAGTTCTCTCCTCAGATGTGCAGGGCACCAGGAGTGTGCCACTGAGCATGACCACACAGGAATAACTCTGTTACACCCAGCCTGTAACCAAGACCCCCATGTCCTGGCACAAGTAGATGTGGGCAGTGGGGCTCCCTGTGTGCTGTAAGGCAGGGTCCTAACACTGAATTCACTTGCCCATAATGTGCTATGCCTCAGGGGAATGTGCTGCCAATGCAGGACCAGCTCAGCACCTGGGAGGACCCACCCCTGAGCAGAACTGCACTGAGTACAGACCTATTAGCCCAGTGCATCCTGAAGGGGTGAGCAGCCAGCACTGAGGGGAAGGCTGGCAGGAGGAAGGAGTGGGAAAGCATAAGGGAAGGGGAAGCAGATCTGGAGAAGGGGAAAATGAAAGCTGAGGACAGCTCTCACGCTCCTCAGGCTGCAGAGACATGATGCCAGCTGACTGGGGTGAAGTATTACTTTGACATAACTGGGAACAAGGGGCTGCATAGGCACAGGGCAGCACAGCTGAGATCGGTGCACAACCCAGCACAGGCTAAGAAACACTGTGCTATGTAATGGGCCCTCCTGCTTGGGGCACTGCACCCAGGGCCAGAGCACCTGGCCTCATGCTCTGATCTTGGCTCCTTTCATGCCCCAGCTCCACAGAGACAGGCCTGCCCAGTGGACCTGGACTTACCTGGGCCCCATGGGGGTTGACATCAATGTGAGACTTGGACAGCCAGACCCACCAAGCAGGGCCTGAAGGCTCCTCCCCACTGTCCCCCCATGGGGTGACAGCAGTGAAGCCTCCCACTGGCAGTAATGGCTGTTTCATCCTTGTCATGAACTCAGCAGAGGCCCAGCACACGTCCCTTTTTGGGCTGCATGCCAGGCACTGCAGCTCCAGAGAGCAAGTCCTGCTTGCCCTGGGAGGCTGTAGGAGTCGTCGATGGGGCTGCAGCATACCTGGGGGATGATCACGTCCGCCAGGGCCTTGGAAAGCTTGAAAAGCTCGGCCGTGCCCTCCAGCTGCAAGGTGCTGTTGTGCTGCACATCATATTTGATGCAATCATAGATATCGGGGATCTTGCTGATATCGTAGCGCCCGCTCTTCATGCGGAAGTCCCGCTCCAGCTTGCTCCAGCGCTGCAGCATCAGCTCCAGCGTCTCGCTGTGGTACAGTTGCAGGTCTGCGGAGCAGCAATGATGCACATGGCTTTGATGTGGGGACTGGTGGCCCCAGGATAGAGGGGATGGATGAGAGTCATGCCCAACCCCTCTTCATGCTACTGCCTGCCCTGTGTTGCCAGCTCAAAGGCAGAAGCCAGCTCCACTGCCCTGCAGCTCCAGAAGCCCTGCACCTTCCCACCCCCACCCACCTGAACCATGCTGCTCATCTTGGGCCTGGTCACTCCCTTCCAGCTTTAGCCTCGCCTCTCCCAGGCCTCTATCCAATGCCTCTGGGCTGCAGATGCAGTTTGTAAAGCTCCCTGGTCCCCAGAAGCAGGGGTCCAGGCTCTGCCCCAGACCCTCTCCTCCCAGTCCAGCTGCTCACCTGCAGATTTGGGATCCTCCAACCGTTTCTGTATCTGGGTGGTGAGGTTCTCAATCAGGGCAAAGACCTGGTTGCAGACCTCCACGGGGTTCTGAATGAATGCCATAGAGTTCGTCAGCGAGACACTGCCTGTAGGCGCCAGCTGCAGAGAAGAAACTCAGTGAGGTCGGCATCCCCAAGTACTGCACCCCCAGCCATGTCCCAGCAGAAACACTTGCCTGCTCCCCTTAGTGCTGCAGGCTGCCTGCTGCCCCCTCTGTCCCACCCACCGCAGGCACAACAGCTGTCCACAAAGACCCAGGCAACACTGTCAGGAGCGGAACCATTTCCATTCCATGTTGCTGCCTCTGGTTACAACAGAAATGCTCATGACCACCCCTCCTGAACCCAGTTGCAGAGAGATTCTGGAGAATCTCACCACACTGGAAAGCCCAGATTTTGCTCCTAACACGTCAGAACTGGTGGAGACGAGCGCTGTTGGGTGTTTATCAGTACAGGAACAAGAAGCTCAGGTTCCACATGGAGCATGTGGGGGCTGGACGGATGAGAGCCACAGACAGAAACACTCGAGAGGATTCTCCAGCTCCCCCGAAGGTAGGTAGGGACAGTAGGGGATGTTCTGGAAGAAGTGACCGTGAGAAGAGGGCTCCTGTGAGGAGGCAGATGGAGGTCCCTGGGGAAAGCAGCTCGCTGAGACAGAGGGGAGGGCAGCCCCAGGATTTTCACAGAAAGCTCAGGAGGGCTGGGTGGTGGTCCAAGCGTAGGGGAAGAGATCTGGCACTTTGTCTGTTTTGTTTCACTGTCTCAGAGCATTTGACTTCTTCTTTCCGTGCAATAAGCCCTTTTGTTTTACCCATTGTTTGACAAAAGTGCCTGTATTGCATTGTGATTTCTGGGCAATTAATATCTGGGGCATGCCCCTTTGGTGCAGTGGGGGCCAGTAAGCTTCCACAGACCCAGAGTGCGTCTCTGGGAGACCCTGACAGCTCAGGGGTGTGTCACATCTGCATTGACATCACCAGACACTCGAGCCCAAGATCAAGACATGGGACAGAGAGGCCTGCTCTGTCACCAAGCCCAGTTTCTTGCCGCAACAGGCCAAGATGTAGCCTGGCCTCATTCAGGAGCTTATCAAGTTCCATCTTTTACAGGGTGGGTTTCTGCCTCCCTCGCTCTTTCCGGGGGGTCTGTTCCAGGAGCCCGTGCTTTGATGGGCAGGACCTTCTCTGAACATGAGCTGCTTTGAGAGACTCATACCATGCACAGATCACACTGTCCCAGGTCAAATCTGCTCAGAGGTCTAATGCCTCAACGTTACACTGTCAGCCAAGCCCATGAACTCAGAGTGCCGTGTTTCTGTGACAAACCTGTTTGCATAAAGGCTTGCTGGTTACAACTGTACTCCCACCCTTCAGTCCCATTCTGAAGTTGGTGCCCACCCCTGCCTTTCACACCCATGCGTTGGGCTGGCTCAGGGCTGCTGGGATGCCCTTGTACATGTTGGTACCTGTGGGCCCACCTGACCACAGTGGCAAGGGGACATTACCTTCTCATAGTCCTCATCACCGAACGTGGTGTCCTTCTGCATGATCTCGTGTAGTCGGGCCTTCACACGGTGCTGACAGCTGCTAAGGGAGTCACTGTCGCTGTCCAGCAGCCCATTCATGTTGGCACTCTTCACCATCTGTACTAGGATGGGCGTCAGCTCCCCCTCTAGTGCCAGCAGCCCCTGCAACAGCAGCACAGGCATGGCTCAGCTTGGCCCCGCTGTGACCAACTCTCCTGTGTCACCTCATGCTGCGGGAGACTTGGGGCAGCAGCCCCAGGCTGGGCTCTTCTGCCAGCCCCAGCAATGCCCGACACAGGCTGCCTTCTGGCTGCATCTTGGCTATGCACAACCGGCTACTGGGCAGGTGAGCACCTGAGAGCCGCACGATGCAGACGTAGCTGCACTGCTCTGCATGCACAAAGTAAGCACATTGGAAGTCGAGCTCCAGAAGAAGTGCCCCTTGGCTAGTTGTCACAGCAGACTCCAGCCACCTCCCCCACACCGCCGTAGGAGACCCCTCGCCAGCCATGGCCAGCAGCCCCTCACTCCCAGGCAGCAAGGCTGGCCAGTTTAAAAGCTGCTCTGGTGGCAGGTGGTTCCATCCCAGGAGCTGACTGGGAAAGGGATGCCTGGGGCTGCCAGCACAGTGGCCATCAGGGCGCCACAGGAACAAGCGAAATGATCCCTGGTACCATGGTAATGGGGAGCTACAGTGAAGGGTCCCCCAGAAGAACCCCCTTCCCCCATGTTGGCTGGGCCAGCCTCAAGGAAAACCACTGTCCCTGGGGGAGCCCCAGTGGAGGTCTGGGGAGCTTTGCTGCCAGGCAGGAGCATGCTGAGTGGAAGAACCTTGGCAAAAGCTGCTGCCGTCATCTGCACACGGCCCTCGTCCGAAGCATAGATCTTGAGGTCATGGCGGTAGGTGCTGTGCAGTCGCAGCAGGCCGCAGCCTGGGAAGCCGGCATAGTCCCCTGGAACACAGAGTAGGCTCAGCCTGCATCCGGGTGCATCAGCCTCCATCCCTTGCACCAGCCCCAGCTTCTCTGGGAATCACTGCAGCTGCAGTTCTGGGCTCAGCTCATTGAGCACATGGGCAGCCTCAGGTGCTGCAATGCTGGGGGAGGTCAGCACTACCCACCAAGTGCCAAAGGGAGAAGCTGATGGATGTGGTTTGACCAGACCTGCCGCGGGAGGGGACTGGCCCATCCTCCCAACAACAGACACAGCAGTAGCAGCAAAATGGGGAAGCCACACAAGCCAGCTCCAGGGGGTTAAAGGAATGCAACAGACTATTCTCTGTGGCCACAGGGAACAGGACAAAAAGTAACTTCTAAGCCTGCATAAACAATGTGTTAGAGGGGTAGAGGAGCAGAGGCAACCCTGCCTGCCACCCCACCTCTCTGGGGTACAGCTGTGGCCTAAGAGGAGCAATGGAGGTGGCCAGGTCACGGCGGCAGGGCAGAGCTGCAGCCTGGTGCATGAGTGGATGGCGGCAGGAGGAGGTAAGGGCAGCGTGGCCTCCTCTCCCCCGGTTACTTGCGCTGCTGGCAGCGTGGCTGGTGCAGGACTTCCAGCAGCAGTGGCAGCAATGAGTCTCACTGCCCCACTCTGCCCTCCTGCTCCGAGTCCTGCCTGCTGGGCCACAAAGGCAGTTCACGCCTGTGCCGGTCCAGTCAGACTGTAGCCCCGTGCCCCCTGTGGGGGCACAAATTGGGGTGGGGGCTGTTTTCTACTTCAACTATTTACTGGGTCAGGACTAACCAATGTTTTACAAATGGGTCCTGGTACAAAAAAGGTTGAGACCTACTGCTGTAGGGGACCCTACACAAGGCAAGTGCCTGAACTGCTCCGTTTCTGGGGCCAAAATGCGAGAGGATGCTTCTCCTAGTCACAGGCTTCAGGACAGACACCAGCACGTGCATGAAGCTGCATCTGCTCCTAGCCAGCATGTAGCCAGCCACGCCCGTTTAGCCTGTGAGTGCATGCCTAGATGTCCAAGCAGCAGGGATAACCGAATCACTGCCTGTATGTGAGGGCCCAACACACCATGCGTGGGACTGTAAAGCTGTCTCAAGAGGCATAAAGGGAGCAGGATTCCCCCATACAAGACGAGCATGCCAGCAGGGTCCTGGGCTGCACGGAGCTCAGTGGAGGGGGGATCAAAACAGCACTGTCCCCAGCCCTTGCTGAGCACAACCTTCCCTTGGCACTGCATGCCACCCAAGATGGACCTGCCAAGGGGAGCTCACCTTGGCCACCAGGGTACATGCAGCGGAAGGCCCGGCCCAGCTCCTCCGCCTGGACACGTCCTGCTGGGGTCAGCTCTCCCCCCCACTTCAGCACCAGCAGCAGTGATGGGGCAGCCTCCTTGCGGGCCTCTGCACAGACAAACAGGCAGTCAGGATGTCATCCTCCTGTTGTACTCGGCCTTGGTGAGCCCACAGCTGGAGTACTGCATCCAGTTCTGGGTTCCACAATTCAAGAAGGATGTGGAGAAGCTTGAGAGAGCGCAGAGGAGAGCCACGCACAAGAGATTAGGTCTTATGAAGAGAGGCTGAGAGCCATGGGACTCTTCAGCCTGGAACAGCGCAGGCTCAGGGGTGACCTGGTGGCAGCCTATAAGTACATCAGGGGTATGCATCAGGATCTGGGGGAACGCCTGTTCACCAGAGCACCCCAAGGGATGACAAGGTCCAAGGGTCACAAACTCCTTCAAGACCATCTTGGGTTGGACATGAGGAAAAGCTTCTTTACTGTCTGAGCCCCCAAGGCCTAGAACAGACTCCCTCCAGAGGTGGTGCAAGGACCTACTCTGGACTCCTTTAAGAAGCGTTTGGACACTTATCTTGCTGGGAATCTTTGACTCTAGCTGACTTCCTGCCCTTGAGGCAGAGGGCTGAACTCGATCTCTTGAGGTCCCTTTCAGCCCTAATGTCTATTAAATCTATGAAGTCACAGCAGCGCAAGCCTCAGGCACAAGCTCCAGGACTGACGGGCATGCAGGCGAGGGCAGGAGTCAGCCTGGGCTCAGTTCAAGCCCACTGAAAGCCTCCCCAGAGACTGCGGTGGAGCCTCAAAGCTGGGAGCACCAGTCTGGACAGAAAGGATGCAGTTTTCAGGGGAACAACAGGTGCTGTGGACACAGACGGCAGCAGCCCTAAGCTGCCCAAGACAGTGGATCCCAGATCCTGAGGACACGAGCCCAGGGATAGCAGCCAAGGGGAGGTGTGGCTAGTGCTCCTGGCCAGCACTGCACACTGCTGGGGGCAAGCACAGGGATCAGAGCCCCTCAGCTGCAGGGCAAGGCTCAGGCCCTTACCTTCATCCTCACTGGAAGCTTTCGGGTGCCCGTGGGGCAGGTAGGTCAGCTGCACCTTGCGGTTGATTCCGGAGAAGTGTCCATACCTGTCATGGGGACATGAATGCAGGGAGGCTCAATTCAGCCCATCCTCGGGGACCCAGCAGCACAGCAGTGTGCAGGCTCTTATGCCCCCATGTGCCCAGCCTGGCCAGGGCTCACACAGATGCTCACCCAACACCATGGAGCAGCCAAGACCTCATCCACTACTAGGGCTGGATTAACCCTTTAGTGGGCCCTAGGTGAACAAACTCATGGGCCCCTACTTTTTTTTTCCACTCAATAATTATAACATGTAAAATAAGCACAACTGTGCTCCTTCTTCACTTAGGGCCCTAGGCACGTGCCTCGTTTATCTGTGTGTTAATCCAGCCCTGCCTACTACCCCCACGTACACTATGTCCTGCCGCCCCATGTCCCCATGTGAACTGGAGAAAGGCCTCCTGTGCTCAGCAGCCAGCCAAGCTAAGGCTGCCCAGACAAGTGCTGGATCTCACCTGCCAGCTTGGACCCTCCCCTGCGCTCAAGGTACAAGCCCAGCATGAGAGACCGAGCAGGGAACAGACGCTCTGCCCACAGCACATGATGGGCAGCGTGACAACAAACAAGTGCCGCCTAGGTCCAAAAGGGAAAGATCAGAGCTCCTACTTGTAGGATATTCCAGGATCCCCTGTGGCCTGTTGTTCTGGCCACATAAGATGCTCTGGGCAGCACAAAAGCCAACACCTGGGCCCTGGGCTCATCAGGGTTTTCCATGGTGTCTTTTCTGCGTGCCAGGTGCTACAACAGCCTGCAGTGGTCCCCCCACCAAGGTGGAGGCCTGGCTTGTGAGTGCTATGTGCCCAGGGGACAGCTGCTCCTGCACCCCACAGGCGCTGGCCCTCAGTGCCCACAACAGTAGGAATGGGGCCTGTGGTGCCCTGGGGCCAGTGCTGGCTCCTTGGGGCACTGCTGCCAGCTGACCTGGTGCCCCCGGGGCCAGCTGGGCGGACGCTCCGGGAGTCCCCCCACCCATGGCTGCCATATCGTCCCTGGATGTCGAGCTGAGATGATCCACCTTGTCCTGACTCACATCTCAAGGACACTTTTCAGTTGCTCCAGTTTGGATTTCCTTTCCTCCATCTCGCCATCATTCTGTGTCCCCAGCTCCACCACGAGCAGGCGTGCAATGTCCAGCACTTCCTGTCAGGACCGCGGATGCCATGAGTCAGCATGAGCCCGCGGCCACCAACACCTACTGCCCCAGCGGCCACGGCCCCCAGACAGCCACACCAGCCCACAGCCACCCACCTCCCAGGCCCCACAGCTTCTATTTTCTTACCCACTCAGGCCCCAAGACAAGCACCCCGTCATCCTGCTGGCTGTTTGTGCAGATCTACCCAGCTGCCATGGCCATGGTCAAGACTGCTGGTCCCATGGGAGGTAGTCTTTCCCTCCGGCCCCAGGGAGCGGTCAGGCAACAGACACTTTCCCCCGTCCCCCAGGCTCTTGCACACAGGCCCCCAGATGGCCTCCGCTCACCTGCAGCTGCTCTGGTCTCTTCAGCTTCAGCTTCCCCGTCTTGTAGCCATCGTACTTCTCAAACAGCTCAAAGAACCTGAGCCAAGAGCAGAGAGGCCCAGTGCATCTTCCAGCCAAGATGAGGGTCCTCCCTATGCACCCAGCCAGGCCGCCTTTCACAGGGCAGACCCGGCAGGAGACAGGCTCCTCCCTGCCCATCCCACCCCGAAGCCTGGAGGAACAGGTGTTTTCAGCCTGAGCTGCTTGCTGGGAGCAACAGGGACCCATGACCTTGCAGCACTGCGAGCTGTCACCAGGAGCTCCCCCAGGCGGGAATCCTGGCGAGACGGCACCAGGTAAGCAGAGAGCCTTGGCTGGGGACAGCACCTCCTGGGTGGGGTCCAGACCCCCGCCCCCCAGCACCCCTCCCCCCCTCACCTGGGATGCTTGACCTCCATCTTCATCTTCTGTTTGGGCGTGCGGTCCCCATGCCGTATAACCGCGATCACACAGCGCAGCTCCATCCTGGGGCAGAATAGGCAACCATCAGGATAACATGCCTCCCCCAGCAGAGCCCTTCCTGCTCCCAGCTCACCCCACAACCCGGGAGAAGGCAGGGCTGGGCATCTTCAAGACCATCTGTGTCAGAACCCCGACTCCTGGCTGGGCCGACCCTACCGACACACAGACCTGTGCACAACAGGTGGCAGAAGGCGCCTGCCCCGTCCATGCTGGAGCAGATGCTGCAGGAAGCAGGTCAGGGGGCCTGGGCCAGGGGTCACGGAGGCAGCTGAAGGCAGATTCTGGGCTGTGGCACAGTCCAACAGCACAAGCCTGGGCTTCCCAGTGCTGCTGGGAGACGAGAGGCCAGGCTCCACCTGAGCAGGGCCAGCACAGCCAGTAGCTGCTTCTGAGCAAGGAAGCCTGCAGCTGGCAGCAGTTCCTGCCCCCACCCGCCTCAAGGTTGGTTTTCTCCTGCTCCCAGGTCAAGTCACATCCAGCGCAGAGGCAGGAGGGCCACGTCCCTTGCAACCATTATAACAGGCTGTTCCTGTTCTCCACAGGAACCTCAAGCCCTGTTAAGTGCCAGTCACGCCATGCTACTGAGGCCATGTCATCCCCAGGTCCATGCATCATCTCCCTCGGGTCCGAGAGCACCAGCAATGTTCAACAGTTTTGCAGGCCCCGTGATCACTGTCTTGTCAGATCCATTATGAACATCTGGTTTGTTCCAAAACACCACAAACCACCTAAAACAACGCAAAGGACTCTCAACACCAACCAAGTCTCTTCAAGACCTGAACGTCTAGGAGGATCCAGCAGCAGCCCCATGAAAAGCTCTCTGCACTGTCCACAAATGAAGAAAATACTGAGGAATTCTGGAAGTGGTTTAAAACTGCCATCCATACAGCCTGTGCTGAATCCACTGGCAATACCACCTGGTGACGCCAGGACTGGTTTGATGAACACGGGTTCATTCAAGGCAGGTCATGTCAGACCAACCTGGTGGCCTTCTACAACCAGGTCACCAAATCTTTAGGTGCAGGGGTAGCAGTGCACATAGTCTTTCTGGACTTTAGGAAGGCCTTCAACACCGTCTCTCACCCTGTTCTTATTAAGGAACTGGGGGACTGTGGTGTCGACACCCACACAGTCAGATGTGTCGCCAACTGGCTGGAGGGCCGCACCCAGAGAGCGGTGATGGACGGGTCATTTTCAACCTGGAGGGATGTGGGCAGTGGAGTCCCCCAGGACTCGGTCCTCGGGCCTGCACTGTTCAACTTCTTCATCAGTGACTTGGACGAGGGGGTAAAAAGCACCCTGTTCAAATTTGCTGATGACACTAAGATGTGGGGAGAAGTGGGCATGCTAGAAGGGAGGAATAGACTGCAATTGGACCTAGACAGGTTACAAGGGTGGGCGGATGAGAACAGGATGGGATTCAACACTGACAAGTGCAAGGTACTGCACCTGGGGAGGAAGA